AATATTTAAATTAATTTTATTATTATTATTTTGTCCCATATTTTTGTATTTTAAAAAGATTGAAAGAATATATATGACTTTAATAATTCAAGAATTATTTTTATGATTTCAATAAAAATGAAATAATAAGTTAATTACAGTCCTTAATTATTATAATACGAATCACACAAAGCTATTTGTTACTTGAATCGAGTTTATAGAGTATATCAAAGCGCTCGCATTGTATTCCGTATTCAAAGGATTAAATTGTCTCTCGCTTGTGCATTTCTCTTCCTTGCGGCTAAAACGTCATCAATTGATTATATCGAATCATTTTGATTATATCGAAAAATATCAGGTTTAAGATATTACAGTCTTGTATTTTATTAGTTATTTTCCACAAACTTTAGGTAAACTTAAAAGGTATCTTAAGAGCGATTTGTAATTTGTGATACATCGACAAATTGAATCGCTCGCCCCTGTTTCGATTCGACGGAGAATCACACGGATGAGGAGCAATCGGCGTTCTTGCGGTTCCAGTTGAATCTATTGAAATTACCGTCTAGCGGATTGGCAAGTGTGATGGTGCGGCTAACGTGAGAGCCTCCAATCAGTAGGTAATTGCTTCATTCCGTTGGCAAGGCCTGCCCAATATTGTGGCCCCTTGAGCTGAGCTCTTACGTCGAGACGTTTGCTGCACCACAACAACCCAAACAGATATACCCAACTTTTACCCTGAAGCTCTCGATCGATCCATAGTTGGTATCTTCGGTTAATGAGAGGAATCCTGAGAGACGACAACGAGATATAAAGAAGATATTAATCGGACACGCGTCTCCACGAGTACGACAAGCTCAAATTTGATCGGACAACGGAGACATCAAACGCGACGCACACGGTCCACGTACGTCGACTTACGAAATCATAATGAAAGGGGAAAACGCGCGATTTAATATCGACATTTTTAAAGGGACAGCCTTAATGGGGACGACACATAGGACAGACATAACGAGCAAAGGGAAGCGGTGGCGGTGGCGGTGGCGGCGGCGACGGTGATGGCGGCGGCGGCGGCGGCGGCTTCAAACGTTCTCCGCATGATACCCTCGGCTCTCGGGAGGACGGCTTTTCCTTTCCGCGTGCAGTTCAGAACGTTGGATCGGAATTAATGAACCGTAATCCCCCAATAATGAGGCTTCGGCTTCGCTGGCTCCGATACGACCTCGTCGATGCTCCCCTCACAACCCCTGGCCGTGCTCCGCCTCGCCCTAGCCTCGTCTCCTCCATGCCACACACGTGCGCGTCGGCGTACATATGTGCTCGCGTAAATGTCACATACACCTTATAGGTACCTATGTTACACCTGCGTGATGCACAAGGCCTCGTAGTTCGAGGCTGTCGACGCGAGACAAATTATCTTTCTGACGTGCATGCGTCGGTGCCATTCACCAGCGGCGTGTGACCAGCGCGGCTCGGCGATTTTTCTCGCACGAAAGAGAGTGTAATGCACGTGCGAATTGACGCGCACCGTGGCGTCTGCTTGAAAATTCGACGTTTCGAATTTTTTATCTTTTTTTCTTTACGTCAGGGTTGACCTCGAACTCATTAATATTTAGAGCGTGCGATGTACTCGGCAAACTTAAAGTAAAAGCGCGATTAGCTCGGAGGTTTCTTATACGTCATAAGAATTTTTCGCAATTGCTACAATTAACTTCCAACGAAAGTGTTTCGACAAATTCTTTGGGAAAAGAGGAAGTATACAGATTTCCGACATAACGATCGTCGCTGCTTTTAATGAGTCGTTTAAGTGGGTTCGTCCTTGCGAAGAATGCGAAATCCGGTTTGACTCTCTCTCGGTTCTTCCGAATATGACAGAATTGTAACTGAGGAGAAAATGAAAGAATTTATATGTGTGTGTGCAAAGAAGAAATTTCGTTAGAATAATATATCTTCCGACTACTTTGCAAAACTATAAGAAAATGACAAAAGATATTTCATAGAGCCTAGATGTATTAAAAATTACGAAATATTCCTTACTTAAATAATTTGCATTTATTGAATTATTTAAGAAATTCACAGATTTTAAACAAATGAGATATCGCAATAAAATTTCCAAGAAAGATGGCTTTAAAAAAAAATAAGTCTATCATAATATTTTACTCCTTTGCAAAGCTTTAGAGAGCAACGCAGACGCGTATAGCTGAGAGGCAAAAAGGGCGGAGAGTATCGCAAAACTCCTGATATTAGTTGTAGTTACAGTAACACGGAAAGTTACATCCACTTCTGGAAACTTTTATACCTTTGTATATTGCAAGCTCGTCGCTGATTTTCTCGCGACGCTCGCGGTTATACGCGCGTTTGACCTCGTTCGAGCTCCGATCGCAAGCGGAACTTTTAATAATCGAGGTGCTCGTGTATAGTGCGAGCCCTTCAGCGAGAATACGGCGAACACGCGCCGGCATGTCTGCCGCATGCGTTGCCGAAGGTGAAATCGCGGATGAAAAAGTCAAAGGGAGTCGGCGATTTGCAACCGGGATCTCGCATAGGAGGTTACGCGATAACCTTCCGAGTCTCGACCTTGTAGAATCGCGAGTTATCGACTAAACCTCGCTACAACGCCGTATCCGAGCTTTCAAGGTACGCTTTCAAGGTACGTGTATTTCGACGTATTTCCCGAGAGATGTGAAACGCTCGTCTTCTCGTACGATTTCGTTTGGCTCGGTCTTACGTAGCTTGTTGTCGGAAAAATTACGGAAGTTCACTTCTACAAGAACGAGATGACTCGCTCGCATTTAGATAAAGTCGAGGAGGAAATAACGAAAGGACTTTCTCTGAAAATTGTTCGTTTTTTCTGCGTGATTTTGTTTGTCGCGCCAACACCCATTCGCACGTTCGGGTCGAAATGACGTAGGAGAAAGAAAAAAAAAAAGCAAAAATAATAAAAGCAAAATTCGGCGCGGCGACACGAGCGAGTGTTTCTGACAGCGTCGATTGGCATCGCACAAAATCGCCCCCTCTTTCATTTCAGAGGCGAGCATTTAACGCGCGGTGATACGCACCACCCTGACGCATGGCGCGCGCATTACGGGCGAGGATACCAGGGCGGATTGTCGGGTCTGCATCGCACACGCTGAAAACCGTTTCGTCAGAATTGTCTTTGAAACCACCGAGGCGACGTCTCGATCGATCTAATAGGGACAGAACACGATGTATCACAAGGTGACGTTCCGTGGAAATCTGTCAAGCGGATATATCGCATTACCGGTCCGACTCTGACGGTGTCCTCGTCGTTAAATTACAAGCAATTGCACCAGTCGGCGTATGCGCTTCGCTGGTGAATAACGGCCTCGAGCCTTTTGTCGAGAATTGCCACGGGGTGAAGACAGTCGACCGATTATCGATATATGCTCCAGTTGTTGTCAATGCAATAACAATCGCGCCGCAGATCGAACTTTTCCTTACGGTTTCTTGATTCCATTGTTTACACAGCTTTCTGCATCTGCAGAATCAGATCTATTTCTAAATAAGCGGTATCTAGTTTTTGAGAATTATTTAATCGTCGAACTTCTTCGTACATCCTCTCAATTATTTGATTAATTTTTTTAATTCTTTAAAAAGTTTTAATTTAGTATATCTAATATTTTTAATTATAATTTAAATTTCATTTATTTATTATCAATTTTTAATTTACATAATAGTACGTTATCGAGTAATTTAATTTAATTAACATAGCACTATTATGGATTTAACAATTAATTAACGAGTATATCTTATATATGATATGGGAATTGATTATTTTAAATATTTTTAGGAAATAATACATCTATCTAGGGGCTTTATTTTCAATATATTTATATGAAGTTCGCTTCTTCTTGTATAAACAATCTCTGTATCTGCGATTTTTGCAACTAAAAGAAAGGACGTCGTTCGTCAGTATCGATTTGATGTCAATACATGAAGCTTGATGGAACTAATAAATGCCATAAAATCTACAAAAGTTATATCTAACTAAAATAATAAAAAAGTCTGAATTAATTGAGAAGAATTATATTTTTACTTGATATATGTTTATAAATCCTTCCATTTCGTCTTAAGAGGGAAAGCGAAAAAAGCTGCATACAAAAAGGGAGAGTGAAAAAAGGCGCACGCGAGAAAAACGCACGACAAAGCTGCTCCATGCGAAGTCGCGTGACCAAAGCTAGAAGTCTCGTTACGCAAGTTGTAACATTACAAACGTTATATAAACTCAGGAACGCCCAGTCGGCATTTGCATTGATGACGTGAATATAATGTATCACCGGGAGCCCGAATGCCGAGCTTTTCTCCGCAGCCACAATGGCCACTGACCACCTGTTGCCTTTCCATTTATATTTTAGACGTCGTGAGAAATGTCATCGCCTTACATATCCTCGCGAGCATCTCGAAAGAGGAGAACTCTTTCTTTTTTATACTAAAAGGAACCGTGAATCATTTCTCGCACGTTTTATACTTATACCTATACTCCTTCATGTCTGGCGAGTGTTATATAAGATACCATTTTGCTTCTCATGCGACATATATTCGACACTATTTTGCGTTATATATTTCATGGAGAATTATGATTATATAATTATCGAATTTTAATGACTATAAGAATTATTAATATTAATGAGGTGCTTAGAAAAGGGTACTTTGTGTTTTTAATTAATGATTCAATATTTTTGATGAATTAATAACTTGTGTGAGAAATCATTTTATATGAAATTATTCTTCCATTTTTATATCCTTCGTATAAAAAAGATTAGGCATTATTATAAAATATAGCGATATAAAAATTTTCGATTATCCATTTACTTGTAAAAATTAAATCAGCGATTAAATCAGCTTTTTCACGCACTGGTTATAACATATCATAAGTAATAGCTCGTTGGGTAGGTCGTTAAAATGTACATTGTAGTTCTCGCATGTCGTAAAATTGCGTTGTGCCATAAAAATGGCTGACTTTATGAGAGCAAGAAATCAACAATCTGCGTTATCTGTTGCAGGGTGCGTCATCCAGCATAGTGGTAAAATTCGCAGACACTGATAAAGAGAGACAGATAAGACGCATGCAGCAAATGGCCGGGAACATGAGCATCCTTAACCCCTTCTTCAATCATTTCGGCGCTTACAACGCTTACGCTCAGGTGGGTCGTGTTACCGTTAATGGCTCTCGCGTTACCGCATTACCGCCTTGTTGTCCTCGTTACCACGACTCACAATCTGCGATGGTTCGTCCCTCGTTACTCTCGGAAATGATCGGCCGAAACTCGATGCCGTCGTGTTAATGCCGGCATGCAAAGAGGGTCTTCCCGCAATCACCTTCTGCGGTTTAATTTTTCCCAAGTGACCAGTAAAAAAGATAAACATCACTTTGAAATTAATATATTCATAATATTATATAAATTACAGTTTTCTTTTTTTCTTTTATTATTATTAGAGAGATAAAAACTTTTCTTATCAAAAGAGATAGAACACTGATTACGCGCGAACGATCTTCAAGATATAATATAATGTCTGAGCTTCTTTGAAGTAAGTTTAGTTTGTTGAAATTATAGTAAAGAAAAAAAAATACGTGTGTGCGTTTGAGGCACTTTTTTTTGACGATGATATTCTCTTTATATTGTAGCAGCAAGCGGCGCTTATGGCAGCCGCGACTGCACAGGGAACGTACATCAATCCAATGACCGCATTGGCAGCTGGACAATTACCGCACACATTGAATGGCATGCCAAATCCCGTGGTCCCACCAACTTCTGGTAAGCCTATATTCGATTAAAAAAAAATAGAATAACGCTCGGCGTATCGCTATGCAAGTATAAACTTTTCAAATGAAATGGCTTATAATTCAAAAATACGTAACATGATCAATATAAATTGCATATCCTCGCGATAATCCTATATTACATATATATTTTTTAATATGAAATGTTTTTTCTCTACATATGTATGTAAACTTTACGATATCAAGAAGTGATGCATTCGATATTTATTCGGCTGTTAATTCAAAATATTGAGCTGTAATGAAGATGTAATATACAGAGATATCGTTAATATCGATAAAGAATGTCCGAGGCACACGATATTTTAATAACAATTTACGAGGATTATGTAGAAAACATTTTTCTTAATTTAGGTTAATCAATTCCAAGTTAATCAACTTAACAACGTCAATTTGGTAAAATATCTCGTTTTATCAAAGAGGAAAAAAAAACATACGAATTATCCATCATCAATCCGATAGCCATCCGATTTCAATGATATAAAACATCTTTCCCTTCCGGCCGTCCTTTCTCCCTGGTCTGCTCCCTTATAGTTTCTCTGGATACTCGCGACAGACGAGGCGTACAGTCGGTTGCCTTATAACCGACTCGTAAATCAATATAACATTTTCATCGAACGTGACTCAAGCGAGAGATATTGCTGGTGCCGCGAAACTTTATCGAAGCTCGTCGTAAAGGAAGAGGGAAGCCAAAGAAATGCCTCTTCCTTGCCCTTCTTTGCTCACACCTCCCCTTCCTTCTTTCCTTCTCACTCGGCATGGCGATACAAGAAACAGCGAAGAGATCGAAATGCTGTAGAGAAGTAAAGTAAGCGCGGAAATCGGCTCCGTTATACGTCGAGTCTCGTCGAGCGGAAGGTAATACCGTTTGATAGGGAAATAATATTTTATTTCTCCGCCGACCCCCCCCCCCCTCCTGCCATCCGTCCGCTTTACTCGGCACTGAAGATTACCGCGGCAGCGAGCTTTTATTTTCGACGAAACGACGGCGTAACCGCAAACTGTGTGTATACAGGGTGGTATTGGCAGGGTGGTATTGGCAGGTAGAGCCACGTACCCGGGGATCATTATTCTGTAACTGTAATTCTAATTGCGTGCATTTCAAAGCGTTCTACAGAAGAGTAGATTCAATAATTCGTCAGTAATATGGGAATTATTAGTTAAAATCGAATATTACCTCGATTGAAAATAAATATTTTCAACGAACCCTTTGGGAATCGGCTCGAGATACGGCTTCCTCGTTGTAATTACGTGAATTAATATTAAAGTTTAACGGAGCCTACGCGCGATGCACTTCGCGGTATCGTTGATGTGATTCTCGCAATCGCCGTAAGTCTCACTCTGTATAAAAACTCCGCTTGACCCGCCCAACCGAATCAACAATGCCGGGGCGTATATTGTGCAGTCATGGGAGTTTAAGTTTACGGCGTATCGTCAACCCAATGCACGTAACCGACTACGATGCGACGATGTACGCGCATGCAACGTAAACCGGGTTTTATCGAAGCATCGAGATTCTTCTCCGTTCCGATCTTCCATCTTCCATCGCGGCCATAGACGCGATTTCGAGGTATTACGGTGCCGGAACGTTTACTTCTCTCTAGCCAATTGCGATGTCTCTTTAGCGGACGTTTAAACTCTCTCTCTCTCTCTCGAATGGAGGATGATTGAGAATCACACGCTTGTAATCTCGGAAAGCTACGTTCGATTACGAACGTACGATATTATCGTTATTGTCGTGTGCCCTTGACTTTGTATTTTCCTTAATCACGTGCTAATTTGATAGAAATAACAGATATTGTCCATACATAATTATATCTCATTACGAACGTCGAGTCATATTGACGTAACACCAAACGTTGGTCACCGGCGCGATCAATGCGTTATTAGCGCAACGCAAGGCTTTGATCGCTGATCCGAATCGCACCGTTGACACAGACGGGAGGCAAACTATTATCGATAAACACGACCTTTTCGCGTAAACTAAAATCGTAATTCAAGAACAGCCGCTGTATAGCTATAGTAACGTTGTATCGCGGGAATCACATGTCATGCTGAAGTAACACGAAACGTGTGCAGAGAGGGAAAAAAAAATGTGCGAAATTTAACGTAGCTTTTTGACCAAATCAATAGCTCGACAATATTAACAGTACAAAAGGTTCCAGTTTACAAAATCAAATTGACAACCCGACGATTTGTATTTCATCCGATCCTTCAAACGCTGCGCGAGGCATGTGGATCGTTAATGGATTTTTCTCGACGATCGAATGGTTACGTTACATCTAGCGCAGAAGTATAAAAGAATATGAAAATAATGAAAAATATGAGAATATATGAAAAATGCGAAAACGTACGAATAGGAGGTAGAGTTGGGGAGAGAGTTTGCACTCCCCCCCCTGAGCAGATGCTTCGCGCGTAAAGGACAATCGTGGTCGGTGTTGAAAGTGCAAGAGGGTAACCGGTGTGTACTGATCAGGTTTGCTCGTAGGTACCGGCACAGGGCAACCGGTTAACGGGGCATTACCGTCGTTACCATCGCCAACGATGCCCAATTTTAACATGGCCGCTCAAACGCCGAACGGCCAGCCAGCAGGCTCGGATCCAGGTGTCTACACCAACGGAATACCGCAGACTTATGCGGGACGTGAGTATCAACTCAGGCGCAGCGTGCCGCCCCTGCGCAATACCCGGCCAATCGGCGGCGGACTTTATTATTCCACGGGGATGTAAATAACTTCGCGCAGGCCAAGTACCATGCCGAGTACGCCGGGCGGGTACTCGCGCGCGTCATACTTCTCCGTAACTTCGGCGAGGAAAACGCCGTTACACTCGTCGACGTTTATTTTCGAGGAGATCCCGGAATTAACGACGACACAGAAGAGAAGCTCCATACGCGGACGCACCAACGCAACGGGATTTTGCGGGCTCATGCTAAGCGCGAGATTTGCGTTTTGCAAGAGCAAGCTTTAGCGATGAATAATTAAGTTTGTAACAAGTAAATTTTTTTTATATGCTTTTTCAATCGTTGTTAGAGCTCCTCGTGTTGAACTTTGGTCATTACATTTAACGTAGAGTGCTGAAAGATTAACGATATAAATGTAGTCATTGTTGTTGAAACGGTTGCAGCGTAGAAAAATTGTTAAAATCATTGAATCAAAACGGCGTAGTAGTTTAAAAGCAACGAATATTACACAATATGGCGACGTATAATCATTCTTATAGTCGATCATTAATTAATTAATATTCGCCCTTTGTCGCCACTCGTATGGAGTTATTATTAGTCGAATATAGTCGAATATAGTCGGCGGAAATATCGAGCGGTATTGATTGGCCTACTGGGTATTGCGACAGGGGCCTCTAGACTAGGCCCTCTCCCCGATAAGAGCTGAGCTTACTGAAGTGTAGATGCCCTCCATCTGTCCATTCCAGCGCAGGGGTTGGCCAACGGGGAGGCGGCACTTCAGCATGCCGCCGCGTATCCTGGAATGCAGGCTTATGCTGGAGTGGCCGGTAAGTGTTTCTCCAGCTTCAATTTTTATCTCTACGGCTTGTCAAGGTGCTGTCTACCCTGTCCGTGTCTTTCGTGTAATGACTGTAGCGCGTTTCGTTTCCATCCAAGCTCCACCCAAGCAGACTCACGGGTATTATCGACGTGAGAATAGACGCAACATTAGATGGATACATTCGTCCACATTGTGTCGTTGATCACTTTATAGAATTTATTCTATAATCGAACAAATAATTTTGTATAAACGAAAATTGTAACTTTATCATAATTATTTATTACACTTTAATAAATCGTCCGTGAATTTTACGAATGAAATTGCATAACGATAGATTTTAATCGGTCTTTTTTCTCCGTAAACAAAATTAATTCTCAAACGTGTGTATCTTGGCTTTGTTTATAGATGTTTCGCATTATCGCGGCTTTCACGGCATCAATTTTAACGGGGCGCGTCAGATAACGCTTTGCGTACTCATCTCGCCCGGATGTTGCCTATCGCGATCTTGAGCGGGTCGAAAAATGCGCGCGTATGGCCGTGAGATGGGTCGGAGATCATCTGTACATACATAAAGGGAAAAAAGCATCAGAACGTCCAACGTTTACGTGCTTTTATCCGGGCGCCGTCGGAGCACTTACCTGCGAAAAAATTCGATTTCGCTGATCGCGTTGCTGGTTGTTTGCATGCAACTATGGTCGCATGCGTATACACACCGTACATGTACACGTCATACGTCATGATCGTGTACGCGTCAACGTTTCGTTCTATAATGCTTCTGCTGTGGTGCTACGTGTACTTCGATGTCCTTCTAAATGTACTTCGTGTACATATTATATTGTAGTTTTACACGTTTACACGTTTTCCTCCTCCCCGTGCATGCTCCCTCTCACTAACACCAACGGCGAAAATTATTCGCCATCGACCGGTCGACGTTGCAGCGTCAAAGTGCAGCGCGCATCGGCGCAAATTATGATCCAATAAAGCCCGGCAAAATGGATGATCTCGTTTCACGGATAATCAGCGTCTCGATGGACCTATACTTCTATTACATTCCAATCACCCTCGGTAACGAGAGGGCGTTTAACAAATTCCGCGTTTACGCGTGTGTCGGTTAACACGAGGTGTACCACCCGTCGCATCACTCGAGCGGATATGGATAGTGTTGTTCGCTATCCGGAACCCGGAGGTGACGGGAACCGGGAGTAACGGGAAGAAAGGGAAGTGTCACTTACTCCCGTGTCGCTGATCAATTCCTCCCTCGTGTCTCTCAACGTGTCTCCACCGTATCGGACGAAAATTCAACTTGACAAATTCGAGTCATAACAAACCGGTAATACGGCCCCGTGCTCTGTGTGAGCGAGCGCCCGAGCACATTACCGTTCGTATTTACCAAGGACTCAAAAGCGATATATTTTTTTCTATGTATTTTTGGCCAATGTACACACGCGCCATCGAGATCAGCGAGTGGAAAAAAAGCAATCCCGGAATAACGGCGTACCTCTATCTGAGCGTGACGCGGCCCCGACGTATGATGACGTATTTATTTCATACGCCAAACGTTGATCCATCGCGCACCGGGGAGCCTCGGGTAACGTCAATCGGAATATATTAAAGCGATGTTTGCACGGAAATAATTAATTCCGGGGCGAAAATTCGCTTCTACCGATCTGAGAGCGGTAACTCGCGCGCGCACGCTCCGCCTATCCGTCACAAACAGGTATCAATCACGAGCATTTTAAATATTTATCAAGCTATAATTAATAACGACGTACTTGCTTTCTGCCTCGTCACGTATAGCGAACGATATAATGCCGGGGCAGGCTCGCGCATTTAGCGAGATCCAAATTTACAGACTAACCAATTGTCATCAAACGTTCAGAGATCGCGTTGCGAATTAAAATATAACGGGGCACTTCTGTTTAATGTGAAATATTTTGCATTTCGATTCCCGTTCAGAAGTGACATCGATATCTATTTGTTTTCACGGCTGTTTTTTTTCTCTCTAGTTTCAAATATCATCATATTGAAATATCACCATATTACGGCAAGTTTTATTAAACTTTTAAATAAAGTTTTATCTTCTTAGAATCTCATTACGTTGAACGATCCTTGATGTATTGACGCATCAATATTAATGCGAGATTTTTTTATAAAAATTTCCTCGTAACAAGAAGCTTGTTATAACGAGATCTTTCGTTGATTCTGTTGTAATGTGATATTAAGCAAACGCCATTACGATAATGTCTCTCCAATTTCAGAATCTTATGTACTCCGAATACGAATCGTATGTCCTTTCTGCGAAATCTTCCGTTTTAACGTTGTTTGTCTCTTTGCCTCGAGGGATGTTTCTCTCTCGACAGCTTAAATATTTAATTTCGCAAATTGCAACGGGATATTCCGGGTGTAGGTTGCGCATAGACGACTCTCGCTACATCATTGCGCTAAAAAGGCATTTCCTATCCCGTTTTAATGAGGCACGTTGTTCCAAGCCGAATCGGCTTTGAAGAGATATCTGGTGTCGGCTAATGACGCATCGGATGCAACGCTGCATTTTCGCAGGCTGCGACGGTTTCACGTACAAAAGTATCGTGTTGAAAGTCGCACGGTACGGTGAGAACATTGAGAGACGAATACCCTTGTCGGCGGCAACGCCCGGTGATGAATGCCGTTCGGAATCGTCTGTACCGAGATGAGCCTTCGTATCAGCGAGTAGTATTCGCTTCTCGCTCGCTTTTACACCGACACAGGGCAAACAGGCCATTCGGCTCTAAAAGCGCGATTTCCATATTTCGCGTTAACGATGAGATTATGCGAGATATCTTCCGGAAATAATAATTCCGCGGGGAAAATTTTGCCGGAGATCGGGCATTTGTTACACTCATCGACATTACCCACATTTAATTGGACACTCGTCCCGACGATCAATTCCTATAGAATTAATAGTTTTAAATAGATAACGTTTACTCGAGTAAATGCTATCTAAATTAAAGTTCAGAGAGCTCAATTCTCGAAAGGCTTGCCATTCCGAAGCGATCGCAGAATCTGTCATTAATATTAAGACCGGAATAACTCGCATAATTCGAATTGCGTCTCATGGTCCACAGAATGACGCAAAAATGTGTGTCCTCGCGTTCTTTACGTTTAATATCCCCTAGACGCTGATGCTCTGACCTTTCCACTCTCTACGTCTCGTGACGAATCTTCGGCAAATCGCAAGAATAAATGGCCGCGTCCGATTTACATGTCCCCCTCTCTCCTCCTCCCCCAACGCTTCTGAAACGGGCAGTCATAAATTACGCCATTGTAATCTGTCTAGCGATGGCAACGCAATTTCTGTTGAATCTGTTGACGTTTATTGGACTGTTCGGCTTTTATTACTGTCATCGTCCATTATGTATGCGCTATCGCTGCATTGAATTACGACGCCTACATTCGGCGGCTGCCGCCGGGTTTCCGAGCTGTCGCTGACTCTTACTGACAGCGGTACGGAAGGGGAACGAAAAAAAAAGAAGAGAGAGAGAGAGAGGGAGATTAAACGGGGGAAGGATAGGCAGTGGCACGCACAAATCTAGATGTGGACAGATCATGATGTACTTGTTATTTGTTATTGTCGCAGCTTACCCCGCCGTCTACGGCCAGTTTCCTCAGGCTATTCCTCAGCCGATGACCGCGGTGGCACCCACGCAGAGGGAAGGTAAGTACAACACGCTCATCAACGTCTAACTGTTGACTGTAAACACGAAAGTCTGTAGACCTGAGATTGTAGACCCACGTCCCGTACACACGTCCAGACACGAATTATCCACCGTCGGCGTTCGCACGAGATGCAAGACGGAGTTTCGACTTTCTCCGACGTTGCTGCCGCTGCTGTTGCTGCAGCCCGTATCGCATTATTTTATATTTAATTTATAAAATAAATGCTATAAAATAAATGCTTTTTATAAAATAAATGCTCGATTATACGGAGAAAAGTGACGAGCGGGAGATACCTGCGTGAATCGATCCAGAATGCGTTGTGCTCCGTTTTGCCTTTCGCGCTTGTTATTTTTATTTTTAATTGTAATATAACAACGTAGCGTTTTATCTCTATCATCTAAAAATGCTGAAATATCAGTACGCTATCCTGTACTTTTATTATTTCGAATGTCATGAATATTTGGCAGGCTCTCTTCTCATTGACGGGAGAAAATATTTCCAAGATCAACATTCTTACTTGATAGTTTCGATAATTTCCAATCACGCAAAATTGCACGAAAAAAATATAATCAATTAAGAACCAAATCGGTTCAAATAAAAGAACGCGATCGGTCAAAGAGACAACATGTCTCGCCTATCAAATATCGCTGCGAACTAATCGTTTATTATACCATCTTTTGCGGAGAGGTAGCAGAAGCAGAGCTAAAGGCAGGGAAAAAGTCGATCAGGCAAGTCCGGGGTTAGAAGAGGGTTGAGCGAGTCAGCGCCTAATTGCAATTAACAACTCGCCATTATTAGAATATACGACGCCTCGCAATGAGATAATGCAAATAAAACGAAAGTTTTAATTACTTTGCCGCTACGCCCGCCGGCGATCCGTTGTTACATCGCAGGATAATGGAAAGTTTACCGCGACAGCTACCCCGCCTCCGTTTTATCCGGCCTCAACCCTCTACTCCAACCGCTATGTTCCACCTCCTCTCGCTCGTCTTACCCATTCCTATTTTCCATTCCGTCTGATCTTTTCGTCTCGTCGATGCATTCTGACATTTTCCCATGCACCGCGATTAAATCGTAAACGGTACACGAGATGCTTGAACAGTAAGAGAAATCTCTAATCGAACTTATTTCCTTTACGCGATTTCGAAACTCCGCAAATTTATCAACGCGTTTTTCTCATTTCTTTCCTCGCATCAAAACAATTATTAATAATTTCTTTTTCCCTATATAAACCTTACGAAACGAAAATCCATGATATTAAGCGATTTAGCCTCTTGTCAAACAAGCTAAAGAACCAATTCTGTGTTAAATTATTATTAAAGAACTATATTATATCATATACATCATATTATATCTATTTCTATATGAATTTGCACAATCTATAGTTGAAATGGCAAATATCTCATATTCTTCTTATTTTTCTCTGCGTGTGAGTGTAAAGTACACTGTCAAGAAGAACACAAGTAGTTTCCGAAGTTTTTTTTTTAAAAAAGAGAGAGAGAGCAACGTTTATCATATTGCTGACTTCCTAGAAACTTTTGTGTTAGATACAAGTTTTGTAAAAATAAGGGAAACGTGTGTGTGGGGATACTTTATCTTTTGGAGAAACTTATGTTAGATGTCAAAGTCGTTAGGCGTGCCGCAATATCAGACGGAACCCAGGGGAGCGGAAGGGGAATCGACGTTATTGTCATCATTGCATGACAGTGGTATCGATTTATTATTGACTGTCGCTTCGCGAGTTTATCCTTGCTCCGTGTTACTTTAAGCTCCTTGATCGTTGTTCTGGGTGTTCTACGTCTTACACGATGTTTTTTCGGTGTTCGTACATACATTTCTTCTCTCTGACCATGACTGTATCACGATCATATTTTTTAACGTTGTACGGATAGCTCTCCTCTTCCTTCCTTTTTATTATCTTTCTTTTTTTTTTTCTTTACATTCAGCGTATCTCGGATGTTCGTCGTTAATTCGGTGTTTCGCCGTTGCACTCGATGTCAGTGGCTGTTCTCGGTGTTGCGCTCGACCAATGTTGGTTGTTGCTTCGCTACGAGACGGTGATACGTGCATTTGCGAGATCTTAAGAAATTTTGTGATCTTGTGTATCAGAAATCGACACGAATCCGTTTTGCGATCGGCAACACTATCACTTGCGAAAACGAAGATATTCTTACAATTCAATTGTATGAGCAAAATAGAAACATTTTTTACGTGCGCATTTTTATTAATATGCAAAGTACCATGTATTTTATATA